TTGAAGTTCAAATTCAGGGATAAAACAAAAGTCAAAATGGAAAGTATAGCAAACTAATGGACTTAACCAGGAAAAAGCTGTGTTTAGTTCTAAAGTTTGTCATATAATTTTAATCTCTTTGGGGTTTCTTTTCTTGGGTTTTGTTCTTTTTTTTGACCCTCCCACCCCCAAAGGCTGTGTTTCCAACACTTCAGAACTATAGAACATGTGTACCTTGATAGTTGTGTGGGAAAATTTATAATGGGCACTTTGTGGGGCTGATCAGAATCCCGTTGAAGGGAACACAGAGCCTGACTAAGGCCTTAAACAGAGAATTACAATAATTTAGGCTTCAAAGTCAAAATTCAAATAAAGCAAATAAGAATTGCTAGCGTGCCTTTGAATTTCAACCTCCACTCTGTGTATTAATGGAAAGAAAATGGCATTTGAAGTGGTCAGCATGCTTGGCCACGTGTTTTGCTTTTCTTGTAGAATCTGAGCACTCTGATCAACTTAAAGTCATCATGGAGTGAATATATACCCATTTTTTTAGTAGTGACCCATGATCTCCAGCGTGAGCATATCCATAAACACTTGAATGTACGTGGGGAATTTTTTCTTGTGCTTGGCTTAATTGAAGGTAACTTTACAATATCCAGGGGTCCACTGCAGAACCACGTTGCAGTAAATGCCTCTGAGTGCCAGTCTCAAAGGGCTCCAGTTATTACGGTCTAAGGAGTCAATGAAAGAGTGAAAGAGATTTACAGAAATGTGTGCGACCTTGACTGTTGAGGGCCGAGAGCTGACACATGTTCCAGCATCCTGGCTCTGCTGGTGTGTAGAGACTTGCTGAACCATGTTTGCTTGGCCATGAGTCTGAGCTTTTTCCAAACAGGTAACAATCTTCACAGACCAATAGGCCTGTTAATTTGAATTATGGAGGAGGCTCATGGGTTTTGGTGCATTAAATGACCCAGCCAAGGTTGTGCAGGACGTGGACCACTGTCCCCAGTATTGAAGGACAAATGATTTTGTTGAAATCATGGGTCATCCTTAGGTTTTAGCTCAGTTTTAAGGTATCTGTCTGATCCACTGCTGCTTTACTGCTTCTTCATGCACTTCTTCTAGTATACCTGGAGTTTTGGTCTACTCTCTACTGGTAGTCTTTGGAAAATACTGACATTCTTAATTGTTTAATAAATCTTTAATGGAACTTTTTAGTGTGTGAGGGCATGCATGTTGATTTTTATATGCATATTTAGGTATTAGGGGAGAAAAGGCTGTTGAGAGGCTCCTGCAAGATCTCAAGAGAGGAACATAGAGTCACAGATTATTATAATGTATAAAGGGTTTCCATTCCTTAAAATGGAGAAGTTGACATATTAAATAGCACGTACTCTGGACTGACTCAGAGAATTTGAAGGAAATAACAGCTGTGCACATCAAAGCTTAAAATTAGAAACTTCATCAGTCAGTAGCAGTTTAGAATGAATGAAGAAATCATGAAATTATTAATTGTGGTGGTTAGAGAAAGGAAATAGAAAGTTCAAACTTTCTGAAGGCAGAATGCTGTCTTCTTCAATCACAGAGCACGTCTGCTGGGTATCAGCCCCTTGTTCTGCTGAGCTGCTCTGTCGAGATGGGGCTGTTGCCCAAACATAGGCACCTACTGCCATTTCAGATGCCCTAGGATGACTCGGGTTTCCCACCTGGCTGACAGACATGGCACAGGGCATATGGGAGGCTCCTGCCCTTCTGGAGTGGCAGCTGGGTGCCCCGAGGCATCTCAGATGGCAGTAGATGCTTCTGTCGAAGGAGCAATCGCACATGGGCTAAGTACAGACTCACTTTCTCTTGCGTCTGTAATGCCATCACCTGAAGCACTTCGGTAGTTCATAGCAGTGTTTGGTTGCAGAAAGCAATGAACAATTTATCTAATTCTAAGCTTAGAATTTTGGGGTGAGTAGAGCATTTATCCAGATTAAAAACTGACCAGGATGTAAAGTTAAAAACTGTCCTAGTGTTAAAAAAACTAGTTAAAAACTGTGATTTAAAGTTGCAGTGGATGGTTGTTTCCTTAATGACCTCAAATCCATGAATTCATTCTAACATTTGCCTTTTTATATATTCATAGTTAAATATAACTTGAATGTTGTCCTAATTACATTCTCATGTTAATTTAGCTCTGATTCAGATTTTCTATCATTATTCTTTGTAGAATTATTTTGAACTGATGGAAAGTTCAGTAAAGATGCTCCAGTGTGCGATGGTGCCCTTTGAATTATTTATCGCATTCAAAGACAGAAATATGGTGAAAACCTAGTTTTGAGTTGTAAATGAGTCCCGGGAACGTAAGGAGGAAGCACAGATCCTTTTTCTGCAGAATGACATGGTCTGCGGGCGCATCGTGCGATATTGCGGGAGCACGCCGCGGCCCACGTGAGCGCAGAGCTTCACGGCTTGATGAGAAAACATCCCTGACACCAACTGCCAAAGGCTATCTAAGCAGATAAGACAGATAAAGTATGGAAGAGGAGAGAGAGAGGTACAGAGACAACTTGCCCAAATGACAGAGCAGATTAGTGACGGAATTAAGGAAAGAAAACAGATGTCCTGCCTGGGTCAGGAGCAGCACTCCCTTCCCTCTGCTACGGAGACAAAAGCTCTCGGAAGCGGCGCTCAGCCCGCGTTTCTCACAACCATCGCAGTGACAAGTAGTGCAGTGTTAATATAAGGTTGTAGAAACCGTGATTAATGCAAAAATTCGAACTTGTGGAGTGGCCCTGAGCGAGGTAGAGAAGAAACAATTGCGGGTGAGGGGTGTGCGAGCCGGGGAGGGTGAGGAGCTGCTGGGAAGGAATTCTAATGGAGGAAAGGAAACTTGTCTTAATGTAAGCAGCAGTTGTGCTAGAGGTAAGTGAGGGGAAATTCTTCATTTATAAATGGTTCGTTGACCCATGATAATAAAGCAGTGCTGCAGAAGAAGGATAATTATCTACTTAAGTATCAGATGCCCTAAGGGTAAAAGCTTCCCTTCTCTCCTTTTGAAAAATGAACTCGGATTAAACGAGTGTCCTTTTTCCTGTTTTACTGTTGACATGGATTTCCTTTTTATGAGTAAAATTAATTAGTTTTTCTATTCCTTTATTCCTGGTATGGAAATCAGGTCTGCCAAGCAAGTCTCTAGCTCTTCCCCTGGGCCCTAAGTTCAGCCAATAGCATCCTTTATGGAGGTGCTTTGTACAGTGTGCTGGGAAGGCACAAATAAATTACAGGCACTTTATTATGCCCAGTAGCTTTCCAAGAGGCACAGCGTTTTAGAACTAAAAACCCACAAAAGTGGGCTTTTTGTCCCTGTCCAGGATTGGTTTATTTCCAAGTAGCTGCTTTCTAAATACATATTTCTCCTTTCTTCAATTTTAATACCAGAAGACACAAGAAAATGAGATGAGTGGTGCCATAGCTGATGCTGGACTGAAAAAAAAGTGAGGGAGAGATTTTCAAAGCAGATTAACACCCGCAGCTGGGGCCAGTCTTCTCCTGTTCTGTTGGGAGCTGCTAGATGTGGAGCTTGCTCAAAAAATCTGCTCCCACTTGAGCAAATATCCATTACCATCTTGTCTGTCCTCATCTGGACTCTGAAAAATGATCCAAACCTCCCCTACTTCTTCACTTCCAGAATATGTCTCTTTCCCCCAGTCAGAATTATAAACGCGATTCCTATGATAAACTTGGTGAATGTAAATGTATTGTCTCAGTGTTTATGGAAATAATTTATCTTTCCTATGTATTAATCCTTCTTTATTTCAAACGTCTCATGCAGTTCTTGAAAATCAGGTTGACATAACCTTTGTGTGAACCTGTTAACTGCAGACCATCTCCTAGTTATGTTTGCTGGAGTACAGAGAATATTTCTGAAACCCTGCAGGCTTCCAGATGCAGTAAAAATACAAATGACTGTAATGCAGTGGTATGGAGCTTAATTTTCTTCAAATAATCTTTGGAAAACTCATTTTAATACTGAAAAAATATGAAGTTTTTAATTTTCATAGCCTTTGGTCATGAAAAGTTCAAGTGATGTTAAAGGTGATTTTAAGGTCTTTGTTCTGCAAACACAATACCGTGAGTCAGAAAAATCCTGTCTGCAGGGAATTGAAATGAGAATTGAGTCCCAAGTGCTTGGTGTTGGATTTACACAACTGAGGCTCTGCAAAGAATTCTGGGCCCTATTAATAATGTTACAAAATTGACTTTCAAGTGAGGAATCATAGCAATTATTAATTTCTGTGAACACAGCAGATCAGGTGATTGTGAATAGCGTCTGTGTACTTCCATTGTTTACTTTATAGCTTCATTTCACTGACTCACGAAGCGCAGTCATCAAGGTATATTTAGTGTTGTGAACATCACACTTAAGGGAATAGTCTTAATTATCTTAATGTATTTCTAAAAACATATAATATTTGTAATGGTGAATGGTAATTAATGTGATGTTGAAATAGGTGATCTGCTATCACCAGCATAGCATTACCTTTTTCACATGTAGGTACCTAAAATTAGAGGTGTAAGATCAAGATTTTTAAAAATACATACCACATATGGAGAAGTATTGGAAGACTGCTGTCTCAGATCACACACCCAAACCCATCTTAAATCCCTTTGGCTTTTTAAGAAAGCAAAAACATCTTTAATCACAAAAGAAAATGTCTCACTTTCAGAGTGAGCATCTCTCCATCAAAACGGTAACTTTGAGTCTGTAAAAACTTTGTTTTCCTTCAGATGTCTCAGGAGTAACATATGGACTCTATTTTACTCATTTTGCCCATATCTGAGGGGTTTGAGGAAGCTACTTCTGAACAAAACATCGTGTGATTCCTTGTATTTAGCCTTATGTTTTAGTTGCTGTAATCCTGGGAGAGGAGGAATTTAGGCAATTCAGAAGTGATGAGAAGCAGGTTACAGGCTCGGGATTGAGTCACTTGTCCTTCTGGACCGCTCATACTTGCGTTGGTGCCTTGACAATGCCACCTTCAGATGTCCTCGTTTGTCCTCTGCGGCCGGCGGAGCGTTTCCGTGACTTGTCTCCTGAGGAAGTGGCCGATTTATTTCGTACGGCGCAGAGGGTGGGCAACGTGGTGGAGAAACACTTCTGCGGCACCTCGCTCACCATTTCCATTCAGGTCTGTAAACCAGTCAACTGAAAACGCTTTAACGGTTTGTTTGATCAAGCTTTAAACCTTCTTCCCTAGTCCAATGACAAAGGGACATACAAACTTCAAGGGGCAATAAATGCAAAGTAATAATGAAGAAGCAGCACAGCGTTTGCAGGACGGACCTGGGGAGAGCAGCCATGTCTCCCTCCCGTCAGCAGGTAACCCACTGCTGGTGATGGAGCCAGATCCTGCTCGCAGCTGGTGATATGCAGCCATGTAAATAGGTTAACAGTTCTGACCTTTCAGTTATTTGTCCTGGATGCTTTTATACCCGCAAAGAGCTCTGTTTAAAGCAGCTCAGGAGACTGGGGTGGTGGTTGGCCCTGGCTGGAGGCAGGTGCCCACCAAAGCTGCTCTGTCACTGCCCTCCTCAGCTGGGCAGGGGGGAGGAAATGTAAGGAAATCACTCAGCAATTACTGTCACAGGCAAAATAGACTTGACTTGGGAAAAATTAATTTAATTTATTACCTATCATAGTTAGGATAATGAGAAATAAAACCAGATCTTAAAGCACCTTCCCCCACCCCTCCCTTCTTCTCAGGATTGGCTTTGCTCTCCATTTCTCTCCCTCCTCCCCACAAGCGGCACAGGGGATGGGGAACGGGGGTTGTGGTCAGTCCATCACACGCTGTCTCTGCTGCTCCTTTCTCCTCAGGGGAGGATCCTCACACTCTGCCCCTGCTCAGTGTGGGGGCCCCCTCCCATGAGAGACAGTCCTCCACCAACTTGTCCAACGGGAGTCCTTCCCACAGACTGCAGTTTTCTTCACAGAAAGAAAGCTTTGCTCCGGTGTGGGTCCCCCCCCCAGGGTGCCATCCTTCCGGGGCAGCCTGCTCCAGCCCGGGGCTACAAATCCTGCCAGCAAACCTGCTCCAGCCTGGGCTCCTCCTCCGTGGGGCCACAGCTCCTGCCAGGAACCTGCTCCAGCACGGGCTGCCCATGGGGTCACAGCCTCCTTCGGGCATCCCCCTGCTCTGGTGTGGGTCCCTGCCCCACCGTGACCCTCCATGGCTGCAGGGCACAGCCAGCCTCGCCACGGGCTGCGCCACGGGCTGCGAGGGAATCTCTGCTCTGGAGCCACCTCCTCCACCTCCTTCTCTACTGACCTGGTGGTCTGCGGGACTGTTTCTCTCTCATATTCTCACTCCTCTCTCCAGCTGCATTTGTGCAGGTTTTTTTTTTTTGCCCTTCTTAACTATGTTATCCCAGCAGTGCTACCACCATTGCTGATGGGCTCAGCCATGGCCGGTGGTGGATCCATCTTGGAGCCGTCTGGCATTGGCTCTGTGGGACACAGGGGAAGCTTCTGGCATCTTCCCACAGAAGCCACCCCTGCATCCCCTCTGCTTACCGGTATCTTGCCACACAGACAAAATACAGCCCATTTCATTAGAGTACGAATTCAAGCAAGCATGCTTTGGTTAAATTCTCACTTACGTGTCTGATTTTATATTCACAAGGATCAGAAATCTATTGCTAGCTATTAAAAAATACGATCTGAAAGAATGAAAAATAACAGCTGTCAGTTTTGTGGTCTAAGGTACAGTTTCTCACTTTGCTGTGGCCTCATATGGAAAGATGCCTTGTCCAAAAACTTTGTCTTGAATGGTTCCCAGGAAAGCGTGCTAATTCAACATACAGTGAAATTGGATGTGAATGTTGATCGAGTAAGATTTGTGAATCCCTGGTGATCCTCGTTAGTTCTTCTAACCTGAGACTTCTCTCTTTGCTTACAGGATGGCCCCGAAGCCGGACAAACGGTGAAGGTGAGTGCGTATTATGCAGAATACAAATTAAGAGACGATTATAAGAACTAATAAAAGATCAAAGCCAGCCATCTGCAGACCATTGCTGTATCGTTATTTTATCCTTGAGATCAAAAAATCCCAAGTGTACAATAGCTGCAAACTCTTTTTATGGAAATGGCACAGGGTAATGTTTACAGGTTTTCTTTCTAGACAAAAATATTCAGTCGTGAAAATATCTTCTCTAAGCTGCCGGGTGTGTTTATGCAAGGAAAGCCTTAGAAAAGAGGCATCTGTTGAAGTTTTTGTTTGTTTTGTGGAGAAAATATTGCCCTTCCATTCATAATCTCTTTGTTTGTCTTTTTATTGCCTAATGAGTTGTAGCTAATTATAGGAACAGTTAAACTGAACTGCGTTATGAAAATATACCTTTTGTCTAGGCTTTCTCTCTCCATATTCATGGCACATTCTTGTTACTGAAGTTCAAATGTAATGGAGCCAGTGAAGCTTAAAAACAGATTTTAAGTGTACTTCTGAAAAAAAGGCGGGGGGTGGAGGGGAAGAGAAGGATTTATGATTATACTCTCCACTTGAGTAATAACATAGATACCATCCAAGATGGCTCTTCAGCCATGTTTCACTGCCTCATAATGCAAATGCATGTGTAGTTAGATTATATGCCTGAACATTAGATAAAGGCTATTTTTTACATTTGGAATCAAGGGAAAGTCAAATATGGCTATGGTTTAGCACTTTGTAAAATCAAATTAGATGCCTCAAAGAAGCTGTTTGGGTTGATTAAGATAACTGTAACAACCAAATGATGGTGTACAGAAACATTTCACTTCTTTCCAATCTGCTGGTTTGACCTTATTTTTCCTACTCCTTTTTGTTGCCTGCTTCAAATATTTGGCAGAGGGGTGATAGGGAGAGAGGAGAGAAATTAGAAAATCCCCAACCTTCGGGATGCTGAGGAGTGATGAAGGAATGTAATACAATTTACTTCAGTTCTGTGGCAAAACAGATGCCTCGGCTCGTGACTTTGAGTGCCTTGGGTGGGTTTTACTGGGAATGCCTGTTGGTAGGTGAAAGTCTCAGTTTAAATACTTTCCAAGTTAAATTTTGTCAATAACAGCAACATGCTTTAACAACCAGATCACAGGATTTCTTTTAAATAACTTGGACAGATGTTTTCTCTGTGTAAAGCAAAGGTTTATAGGAATTATTATATTAAAATGTGAAGCAATTTGATAGTGTGAATGAGCAAAATTCCCATCCTCTGTGACTGTGAACAAATATCTATGGCGGCCTTAAAAAGGCAAGAAATTCTGTTTCCTTTTCTATTTGTGCTGGAGACAAAGAGGATTAAGTGTTAATCTATCCAGTACATTGCAAGATGGTAACCACCCTTCGTGCTCCCTTCTCACACTTTTAATAAGCAGTGAGATGAAAACGACCCACTCCTACAGCTGTGAACCCCTAACGCTGTAATAAAGAGTGTGTATTCATAAATCAGAGGTTAGCAGTTTGCGTTCCTCTACTTTTCTGCATCATTGGGCAACAGTGTAATTTATCATCATCACTTTGGGATGTTTATCATCCAAAAATGCCGACAACTATTTTCTTCAGAGAACTTAGAGCTTTCAAAACGTGAATTGGGGAAGAAATTACTACAATCAAAATCTTCTTTAAAGTGAACAACAGGGTGGGTACAAGAAGAGCTGGTTCCATTTAAACTGTTTTGAATCAGAAATTTGAAAAAATCATCTCTATGATCTGCAAATAATTTATGAACCTCAAATTCAATGTGTCATGTGTTTCTGTAGGACTTTTTCTCCCCGTATCAGAATGCACAATAATCCAGTCTTCCTCTGAGGGGACTTTTAAGTAAAGTTGTGGAACAGACTAAACATTAGAAAAACATTCTAATGGTGAGAATAGCAGAGCATCACAATAAATATCCCAGGGAGTTTGTGGAGTCTGTGTTTCAACAGGGTAGGCAAGCGTATGTCGGGAGCTAATTAGGTGTAGCTGATCTTGCTTTGAATGGGGTTGCATACCAGATGGCTCCAAGAGTCCTTTCCATTTGTATCTTGTATAATTCTGTATAAATACAGGCTACTGTATGTGCTATGCAGGAAAAGAATTGCAGGAAGCAGGAAAAGGACCATTTAACTGGCTGTTGAATTGGTCAGTGCACAGCTTTACTAGAAAGTGGGAGGCACTGTCAGCCTAGCTGAAGCTGAAAAACTGACAGAAATGTTATCTGAAAAAGATCAGGAAATCCTCTTTGTCAAGAAGAAGGAATGGTAATCCATGCCCCAAGAGCAGTTTTGGACCTCGGGTTTGCGTACGAGTCTCAGGTCTTTCTTTGCTATTGAGATGCCAAAAATTATGGGCAGTGCATGCAGCAGGTTCCAAGGAGATTGCCCTTTCAGTGCGATTTTGAATAGAAATCAGTGATAATATCGACTGCCCGTGTTACACGGTCATTGCGCTGGTGTGAAAGCTGCTGGTGTGTGCAGGTCTCCGTCAGTTGTACTGCAGTGCTAGGATACTTCAGTGGTGCCTCTTGGACTCGCCCCATCCTAGTTACCTCCTGGGAAGTCGTTTATAACCAAACGCGTGGCTGTGTTGTTGCTGTACTGCGTTCCTTAGGGATGCTGTCCTGCTGACCTAGGCCAGCAGAGCCTGCAGGACGGTGCCTAGGGCAGCTTATGGTCCTTTCCTGCAGTCTGTGTGTTTGCACTGGATGGGTCTTGAGAAGAAATTATACTTATACGTGACCCTCAGCTCGTCAATACTTTGAAAACGCAGATGGAACTTTTCTTACCCGTTGGAAATCTACATTTGCTAAGGAATTCTGAACCATGTCCCAGATCTCAGACCATAAAGTAATGCAATATGTTGCAGCATAACCTTTTTCATAGCTGCCCACAGACTGTGCCTGTTCCAGCCCTGTCACTTATTGATGAGAGGGACAAACGTCCCTCTCCAAAGGTGGTCACAGACGCGCACGCTTTGCGTTTCGTTGTCCGAGGCTCTTGCACCAACTCACACCAGAGAACCTGAGCATCTCTGAGCAGTGTGTCAGCAGGCAGAACCACCTTCCAGCATTAAAGGCATTTTGAATACTTATTTCTTCTTATTTGAGAGAGAAAGAAAATTGTATTTAGGTCCTCTTTCAAAGAATATTTATCTCTGCAATTCTGAGCTCTGTTTTTCTTGGAGAACACAAACCCCGTGGTGTCCTTGTGCCAGGAATGGCGGGTGAGTTCCATGCCAGTTCTGTTTGAGAATGCCTTAAATATCCAGGCAATTTCATGGATCAGGGAAATCAGCTCTGCATCTTAATGCAGGGCTCTTATTGCTATGTCAAGTGAGTGACGTTTCAAGATTTCACCAGTATATTTTATAGCTGCCTTTTCAACCTCAAGTCAGCAAATGCTCTGGGTGCCTTGGTGGATGTACAGCAGCACAATGTAGAATAAACTCTCAGGTTTACCTTTTCTGTGAGATTCAATCACAGGAAACTCCATGTGCTCTGTACTCTGTAAAGGCTAAACAAATCAAGCTGGCAGGAGCATGATGCAACTAATTTATCTGTAGAGACAAGATAATGTTGCACAGCAAGTGTCCATTGCACAAACACATATGAACACACACTCAATTTTGCAGCAGTGTCAAAGTCTCCAGCAGCTTGGCACCTCCACTGTTACCCCGAGTAAGTGCCTGTTTGCCAGTTACAGGTACACGGAAATAAGTGAGGGCGCGAGACTGATGGTGGCAGTGTGGGCATATGCGCAGAAATTTTTCTGTGTCACACACTCCACTAATTATTTTTCACTAAGATTGTCTCACGATTATTTTTTGATGTGCATGTTTTTCTTTCCCAGATGGTTTTTTAATGCTGTGTTGAATCAATCCACCTGGCTTGCATTCTTTAAAAAGCTTAACCTGAGCTGTGGAGTCTTGGGTTTATTTCAGCCCAGAGTAGACTGCTCTTTCATACTCTTTGTCTACTTATCTCTGGACCTGAAGTACTGGACTTCAGGTTTGAGTCTTTAAATTTAATCAGATCGCATTGCAGCCTGATTGCCTCAAAGGGATTAAATTCACTAACTGCAATACACGATGCCTGTCTGCTTCCCTGCAGACTGGCAGATGTGAGTCCTTGTTTATTGGAGTATTGGAAACCACCTTTTGCTTTCTTAAAAGAGGACAAAAAGCTGGCATTTAAGAAAAATCTTTGCATTTCTCATCTCTTAAGTAAATATAAAATTCAAGAGAAATGCAAAGATTTTTCTTATCTCTTAAGTAAATATAAAATTCAAGTGGAAAAAACATGGAAGAAAGAAACAAGTATTTGAAAACCAGCTTGCACTGAAACATGTGAACAAATGGTCTTGTTTGTTTTACTCTTAAGAACCATGATTCTCTTGAAAGCTTGTGGGATGCCCAAAAATGATTCGATGAAGTACAGCAGTCTCTTTGAATTGCTTTGAGAACCATACTAATAGTATTTGGTTGGAGAATATGTAATATTGCAGGCAGGTAATTGGTACAGCAAATTCCGTAGTCTCAGGGCTGCTCTGTCCGTTTTGAGCTCATCATTGTCTGTTTCAGTACCATACTTGGGTTGGAGCAGGTTTTGGTGGGATGGTCATGGTGAACGTTTTGAAAGCTGGGATTATACTGCCCTTACAGATATGGGGAAGCAGCAGGGGTATCTAGATAGTTTGCCCCTTCTTGCTTAAAGCTTTTTACTGGCTCTTCATTTTTTTTCTACCTCTAAACAATAATTCTTGCCCTTCTCAGTATCTGCCTTGTGTTGGTCTAATTCTTCTTTCAGTCCCTTGGCCAGACCTATGTTTTCCATGATGCAATGAATTGTTACAGTGCTTGAGTTCTGATTTCCTCTTACCTATCCCAGGTCCGTACTCCTGTTCCTTACATTGACATCTAGGTTTTAATTGAGCTGTAAGCTTCCCAGGAAAAGCATCATACTGCGTTTTTGTTTG